CTGAGTGTTGAGCCTCGGCCAGATCCCCTGGTATTACCTCTCTCATTCTTTCCCTGAGTGTTCAGCGTAGGCCAGATCCCCTGGTAACTCATCGCAGCGCCATTCTCCTTACACCGTAATGATCTATCTAGCGTCTCCGCACTGTTCACTCGTCCTCCCAAAGGGCCCTCACAATATCTAGCTTGTCATACATCAGTTCACCACCTCGTGTTGCAGAGCCGGCCAGTCTATCTGCCTGCTCATTTCCCAACACGCCGACAAAACCTGGAGAAAATATCCAAAGGATGTCAACTAGCCAGGACCTCTGAAGTTTTGCTTGCCCCTCAACTGGAAAAAAATGGTTAGTTAGTTAGTTAGTTAGTTAGTTAGTTAGTTAGTTAGTTAGTTAGTTAGTTAGTTAGTTAGTTAGTTAGTTAGTTAGTTAGTTAGTTAGTTAGTTAGTTAGTTAGTTAGTTGGGTTATCATCATTGCACTCCGGACATGCCCATAGGTGCTCAGATCCTCCCCTCAGTATGAACCCCAACTTCTGATGGCTAATAGTACCAGTTCTATGTTGATTAACAAGTCGTCTGGTGTGCGTCTCGTTTTTTGCTATGCCCATCTTAATTCCCAAGTCTGCCATTCTGGCGAGTGATGTGGATTCACTGCCCCGAAAGACCTCTATCCTTCCAATTTCTCTGAGGGCATTAATAATATCAGCATGATCCATAGGCTGATTTTCGGTAGTGATAGCGGATCCAGCCAACCTGTCAGCTCTTTGGGAAAAAATGGTATGATGGATTATTGCAATGAGACGCACTCATTTTCAAAACTGCTTGGCGCTCCCTTGGAACTTTCTCACGCCTCCTAGTTTGGAGACCACCCGTCTAGCTGCTATACAACAGAGCCTGCAAAACTTGTGCAGACATCTACACAACTGAAAGCAGTTGATGGCTCCTGCTGTTTTCCACTTTGCAAGCCATGCAACAACTTCAGTCGACTCCAGAGGGATATGTTCTCTGTGTGTTTTCAGGGCTGCCTCGTGTTCTTATGCCAAACGTATAATTTAAATAACCAATGCGCTGAAGCCAGACAGACAGGGAAGAACTAATGTCCGGATGGATGGGGCAGATAGACGAAATGAGTTAAGGGATTGATTCAAGAACCGACATCACAGCACTTGGAGCATTTCCATAAGCGATCCGTCCCCATCCCCAGCAGTCAATGAAGAGCTCTGATATACATAGAAAGGCAGAATGATGAAGCTCAACACTCACTCACACACAACGTACGACTCAATGATATTTGCCCGTGAAATGTCTTTGAAGCCATCTTTTTCCGACATCGATTTTTCACTTGGCTTGTGTGTACATTTTTCTAGAAGTGGTTGTAAAAGCAGAGAGAGAGAGAGAGAGAGAGAGAGAGAGAGAGAGAGAGAGAGAGAGAGAGAGAGAGAGAGCGCGCGAACTGATTTTATCTGTGAGCTTTTTAGCAGGAAATTATTTTAGCCAGTGCTGTTGGATTTGAGACTCTGGTTTCTTGTATAAGAACGTCGCTTTTACATGGCACAGATGAAGCCCCGCATTAGCGAACTGAAGTCGTAGTCATTTAACACCCTGCTGCTGCACTTCTGACTGAAATATAACTGTTCTTCACTTATAACAGAAACATTACAGTTACTGTATATGTATGTATGTAAGTCTGTATTATGTAGGTGTGTCTATACATGCATGTATCCATGCCTCTCACTATACATCTGTGTGTTTGCGACGTAGTGAAAGGGAGGAGAGAGACAGACAAAGTTATCATGTGCTTATAACTGGCGGTAACCCTTATTGTGAACTTCGCTATGCGGATGACACAGTCCTTCTGTCGAACACTGTAAAGGGAATATAGAAAATTTAATAACGTCTTCCGAAAAACACAGTGAAAATCAAAACCAGTTCCTGAATTTAAAGAAAATAATAATAATGTCCACAGACAAAACTGCCTGTCAAAAATAATAATAAATAATGAAGAAGTTAAAAATGTCACAGCCTTTGAATAACTAGGCTCCACAATAAACAGCAGAGGAGGCTGTTCAGCTAAGTCTAAAAGAGTTTTGGCCATAGCAATTTAAAAATGAAACTCCATTAAAAGTCTATGGTTAAACACCAGCAAGGAAATCATAGTCACTATATTGTGCGCATGTATTTTATTCTTTAGGAACAAACAGATATGAGTCGTGCATTATCCCTAAATCATTAAGGAAGAGAATGGGGGCTTTTGAGCCAAAATTCTATAGACAAGTTCTCAGGATACCATAAATCAAGAAGAAAATAATTAATGACATCCTAAAATATCAGAACATCCAGGACGATTGTCTAATAAGCAGCATCTTCTCTCGGTAGCTGAATTTTTTTTTAACCATATCAAGGGCTACGGCAGATTGAAAAGAATGAGGAGAATACTAGGAAGGAAGAGGAGGGGTCGACCAACCATGATATAAGAGACACGTATCATTTCACCCCCCAGTGGTGCAGATCTAGCCAATCTATCTGCCTGTTCATTACCCACTCTGCCGGCATAGCCTGGAGAAAAGATCCAGTGTATGTTCACTGCTCGTGACTTTCCCAGTGAAGCTTGCCACTCTGCTCGAGGCATCCCTGTCTTCACCTTCCTCAGCATGCTTTCAGAGTCTGTTACAATTACGACATGTGCAAGCATCTTGTTTTCTAGCCATCGGAGACCTGCATTTACCTCCTCCACCTCCATTCTCATGCTAGATGTTGTGGTGTCGTATGCTAGGATGTCTTGCACTAAAGATTTTCCATTGGCTTTCGCTACGAACGCCCAGGCACTTCTCTTTCCTGTCAACACCGAACATCTGTATAGATAATCAGATCACCTGGGAGTGAATTGTGAATTATCATGGAAGTTTGAGTCCCTTTCGTTATTCATGGAACGGTACTTTCTATTTATGTTGCATAATAGGCACAGTTGTGATCAGGCACATTTCTACGTCCTTGTCTGGTGACATGGTCTGACAACATCAAACGTGTTCATCTTTGCTCACCAGTTTACAAAGTTTACTGAACAAGTGACACGGTATACATGGATATCTTATATGTGTATGTAAGAATATACTTTAATTCCACTGTGTTAAAATTGTGCGTTAGATCTGTTTGACATCCTTCAGTTTTATCTCTCATCTTCCGTACTTCATTACTTCATTCATACATTTCTTCTCTTACCATTCCTACGTTATTTTTAATTCGTACATCTGGTATGTCTCGCCATTCATACACTTTGTCAGTCACACATTTCTTTAATCTCGTGTCACACATTATTACGGTCATATAGTTTTTATTAGGTTAACCTTCAATACAACATTGACAATTTAGAGACTACTATTAGTAAGAGGTTACTTTCACGTTTGCTAACCCTGACTTCTATTTCTGTTACCGTGGTTGTTTTCTAGTAATTGTGTTGTGTTGCTTTTCTAGCAGCTTTTAGAACTGAATCATTCTTTATTTGTTTACCCGTCTGATGTGTGTGTTTTTATTTTTTTATTTTTCAGGAATTTCACAATAAAAAGGGCAACCAAGCGTTGTTAATACACACTAGAGAGATCGATGTTAATGACGACCAAAATGCCCAAGGATCTATTGAAACGGCATATACCAGGAATGCACTCATTAGAATGTGAACGAAGTTTGCTGTGTGCAGTATAATCCAATATTTACTTTCCGGGGCTGCGGGGAATATTCAGTACTTTGACGACAATGACAGATTGCCTGTTAAAAGGAAAACGATTTTTCTGCCGCGAATGGGCATTTATTAAGTTGCTTCACTGTTTGGAAACAAGATCCTCGTCAAAGACATGCGGGACATTAGTGATGGGAGGTTCTGGAAGTGGCAAAACGGCCCTCGGTTGCGAGATAGTCTGGCCAACTTGTCCACAAGGGAAGCAAGGCGCCCTTAATTCTCGACTGCTGGCCTATCATTTTTGCCAGGCCCACGACAGCAAGTCCCTCTCCGTGTCAGAATTCATCAAGAGTTTGGTTTTACAAGTGGGCGCATCTGAGCAAGTGAAAGACTTTAAGACTCACGTCTCTTCCTTAAATATCCACAATTTGCTCAATCCTAAAGAATGTGAATTCAACGCAGATGAAGTTTTCAAAGTGGCTTTTCTGGAACCACTCCACGCTTCTGAACCCCCGGACCAGACTTTGATGCTATGGATTGATTCAATAGACGAGTTTCTTCTTCAAGAGCCAAACGAAAGGGGAGCATGCAGCCAGACAATAGCAGAGTTGTTGGCAGCCCACATTTCTAACTTTCCTCCGTGGTTGTGTCTGGTTTGTACCGCCAGGAAACAGAGTAAAGCCGTCACTCGCATGTTTACCGGCTTCCGGAAGCTCAGTCTGGATGACCTGCGCAAGTCGCACGTAGTCAAAGATGTCCAGCAGTATATCTTGTGTCGCCTGGACGCTGAGGATGGTCTGCGCCAGCATCTGTCACGTGATACTGCTGAGATGCTAAACCAGCTGCACATTAAAAGTAATGGCTGTTTCTTGTACCTGGAAATGGTTCTGGATGGCGTGGCAGAGTCGTTTATAATGCTTCGTGAAGTCCGAGAAATTCCCGGAACTCTAAACGGGCTATACTTGTGGTTGTGTCAGAGATTATTTGTGAAGAAACACTTTGTTAAGATTCAGTCAATACTGAACGTATTACTTGCATCACAGTCACCAATGCAAGCTGACCAACTGTATAAGTGCATGCTGATGAGGGAAACAAACCTGACCAGGTCAGAGTTTGACAAGCGAGTACAGCTAATGAGTCGCATTCTGTTCACCAGACCAAACGGTGAGCAGACCATTTTCCATCACAGCTTTGCTGAATGGTTGCTGGACATCAAACACTGCACACAGAAATATCTCTGCAATATCCATGAGGGACATGCTGTGATCGCGCTGAGGTTGTTGAGAATTGCAAGCAAGCTTTCTCCTCTTGAGGTTCAAGAACTTGCACTGCATATGATCAGAGCACGTTTTCCGGACAACATTCGACCCGAACATTTAACCTATCTCCTGGTGCTGTCTGGTGCAAACGTGGAGAAGTGTTTAAATGTGGCTGTACCTAAAGATATTGAAGTTCTACAGTTGTTAAAAGACGCCAGCATAAAGGCGCCATCTACAGAAACACACACCAGTAAATTTGAATCTCTTGCAAGTCTGAAAGAAAATAGCAAAGAAGAAGGAAATGATTATTTGAGTGTAACCACAATGGAAGCGGACCAGAATGGTAGATCACCTATTCTGACAGCAGCTTATAAGGGTGATTTAATGGCTGTGAAATCTTTACTTGCTAATGGAACTCAAACTGACCATCAGGATAAGTCAGGACAAACAGCGTTGACGTTAGCCGCCCGCCAAGGTCACGCCGAGGTGGTCTCGGTGTTGATGGATGCTGGGGCAGATGTTGATCACACGGACGTCGAGGGCTGGACTGCCTTGAGGTCGGCGGCTTGGGCCGGACACTCTAATGTGGTTTCTTTGCTTCTGGAAAAAGGAGCTAAAGTTGATCATGCGGATGCAGAACAAAGAACAGCCTTGCGTGCTGCATGTTGGGGTGGGCATGAGGATATAGTTCGACTCTTGCTGGAACATCAGGCGGATGTCAATAAAATGGACCACGAGGGGCGTACAGCTTTGATCGCTGCAGCATACATGGGACACGTCGAGATCGTTGAACAGTTGCTTGACCATGGCGCGCAGATCGACCACGAGGACTGTGACGGTCGCACAGCGCTCAGCGTGGCATGCCTGTGTGTTCCAGCCAGCGAAGGACACGAAAAGGTTGTGAGTTTGTTACTAGAGAGGGGTGCAGAGGTTGACCATACTGACAAGGACGGGAGCACACCTTTGTTGGTTGCGGCATACGAAGGTCATGTTGGCGTCTGTGAAATGCTGTTGGAATGGGATGCTGACATTGACCATGTAGACCATAAAGGGATAACACCGTTGTGGGCAGCTACCTCTATGGGACACGAAGAAGTGGTCAGACAGCTTATGTTCTGGGGAGCCGCCATCGACCATATCGACCCTGACGGAAGGACGGTTCTCTGCGTGGCTGCAGCTCAAGGATCAGAGTCAATAGTGCGTCAGTTTTTGGACCGGGGACTGGATGAAATGCACAGAGACAACTCGGGCTGGACACCGCTTCATTTAGCAGCATACGAGGGACATCTCCAGGTGAGTCCAGTCTCTTGTTGTTGTGTACCTGTCTTCTATTAACCCTGACACCTGAAGTGATACTTAAGTCACATGTACCAGGGAAATTGTTGCATTTCAGTCACAGTTGTGGAGTTTGTAAGCATTTTAGCGATAGCTCTGCTTTAGCAGCTAGACGCTTCCCTGCGTATCGGAGATCATGGATTCAAATCCGTATGACGCCGAGTTCCAGCTCCCCCCCCCCCCCCACACACACACATATACACACACACACACATAAGTTTGGCTCCCAGGTTGAATCAGCTTTAAATTGGGACCACGTAAATCCTGGGAAGTAAAGGGCAGTCGGCGTGATATTGACCAAATCACCCATCGAAGGCTATAACAATATGAGTCTAACCTTATATACATGATACGTCACTGACAAGTCGAGGGACCTTACCTTTACTTTTTACATTACCGACTTCTCGACATTTATTTAATTTCCTTATCTCTGTTTTTTGATGCCATCGCTCCATCTCATAGAAGCTGCAAGTCGAGTCGCCAGTGGTTACATACGCTACTTGAGGCTGGTTTGCTAGGCAACTCGAGAACACGAATATTTACTGTTTGAATTAATGTTCTTTTGACGGCTGTAGAAATTTATTTCTTCTTTTTCTCAATCGAAATGTTTGTGTGTATGGGGGGTGGGGGAGGGGGGGGTTAGAGGGGAGGGGGCGGCGCATCCACTGCTGATGAAACAACAAAAATGTTAAAGTCTTAAAAATTGCTTGTAAAACGCTAGCGTAGGTAAATATTAAAATAATGTTGAACTCCCAGTGTCAACATACAAACCACCCTTTAATTACTAGTCTCTCCCCTTTATATTTTCTGGGCCTTTTTTGGTAAAAGTTTGCTTGATTTTAATTAGTTTTTATGTGTTTACTGCTGGGTTATGGACACGTCGCATAATTATAGACTCTGGGAAGGCTAACCCAGACGTCAGGAAATATGAGGAGTCAGCAGAAAAACGCATATGTGGCAACTAAAGCAAGGACAATTCAAACTTCGGAGAGAGACAGAGAGAGAGAGAGAGAGAGAGAGAGAGAGAGAGAGAGAGAGAGAGAGAGAGAGAGAGAGAGAGAGAGAATAACTTGTTCATTTTTTAAGATAATGAGTAGTTCGGTCACGTGTCTGACCAATATGTGAATTTCGCAAGACAAAGAGACTTCCAATATCAAATAGAGGACTAGGCATGGCATAATGTTGAGCCTGGAAGTTATATTTGCTTCGGACAGAGCTTTGCTAATGTAGTTTCCACATGTGAACGGTATTCTACGGTTTTGCTGCCTGAGCTACTGAGTTTAGTGCTTGGTGCAGCCTTGTGAGCTGTGTTTTTCATGTAGAATGACTTTCATTTGTGCATCTGTAGAGTCGTTGTATTTAATATGGCCCAGAGCCGGTTTACGTGTGGGCTGGTGAAATACCTTAAGTAATAAGTGTACATGTCATAGCCACATTATCGTGCCCGACTACTTCTATCAACAACAAACTACATTTCTGGTGACGACTGTTGGCTTTGGCGGCTATAGCAACTGCCTTATGCATTTACTGGTTGCGCATATTTCTGGATTGTGCCGGGACTAATTGTTTGTTCACCAGTTTTTCAAATGAGACAGTGTGGGACCTTTTATTTGATTTGCGCTAGCACAGGAACGGAGCAAGTATGGGGAAACCCGACTGCTGGGAAGTTGCAACCTCGCCTAAGACAAAGACTTAAGTCAAAGAGAAAGCTTGGTCTACAAAAATGTTGTATAGACCACTACATGAAGACACCATTTAAGTTGATTGAAACATTGGCCGTAGTGCTTTTATAAGCCGTAGTGCTTTTATAAGCCGTAGTGCTTTTATCAGCCCACTCTGTGTCGTGGGCTGCCGAATCGATCCAGACTGACGCGATCACAACACTAACATAATAACACAGATTGCACAGGGAATGCGTACAAGAGGTACTACGTTTAATATGTTTGGGAACATGAAAAATCAGTTTTTTTTTAAAACGCTTCCTGGTATTTTATCCCTCAACTGTTTTTCTTCCAAGTAGCGCACCATGTGCAGTTGGTTGGTAATCTTGTATATTAATTAACGTTCCATAAATAGTCTTACTTGTTATGTTGGGTCAGCAACTCTAAAGAGCTGAGGTAAAATTGTTTCCTTGCTAAATGAAGACATTCTGGCCTGTGTGGAAGTAGAAGACCTGTTGGTTTGGTGTGTCGCTTTTGCCTCCAGCGGACGGCAGCTACTCCCTTCTGGAACTTAAGGATTTAACTGTCCTTTTTCATTCCATAATTCCACATATCTGCACGTTTACGAATGTGTTGTTTCTTTGTCTAATATTTTCTCTTGTACTGTGTATAAGCATTTTTTTTTTTAATTAAAACCTTTAAAGTGTCACAGTCAGGTTTATAACCGTTATATGTTTGCATGCAGTGATGAGCAATCCTGAGAAGGAAAGAACACCTCAGAGAATCTGGATATAATCATTCACGGGCTAGATTCAGTATCATAAGAGAAACAAGGCTAGTGGTATCAACATTTTTCAGTTTGTGTCCTCTATAAGTGTACAGCAAGACCAGTGTTGCCACTTTTCTTTGACACAAAAAAATCCAAAACGGGGTCCCCCAAAAAAATCTAAAAATATCTAAATTTGTGTGGGAAACATTTACAAAAAAAATATCCAAATGAAGAGTCACAAATTACAAAACTATTGAAATGACTTACCCTATAGACACATGTCCTCATCTTCACTGATGTCTGCTTCACAAGATCCACAAGATAAACTTAGCTTGGATGATGAAGTTGAAGCTTCAGATCCTAAATTACTGTGGTATGCTTCAGCTGTTTCAATTTCTTTTAATACACAATCAGGGAGCTGATAAGTGGAACAGCATTTTCCTACTCTCATCAGGCCAAACTTTATTGTCAAGATAGCATTTAAGAGGTCTAATTTCATCCTGTTTCTTGGGTTAGATTTGATATAATTCGTAGCACTGAAAACTTTCTACGTCAGCATTTGAGTGGGGTAGTATCATGGCAGACATGGCACATTTAAAGAGCTTACAGAATAGACTGTTTGATGAGGCATCTTTAAATTGTCTCACTTCACTCTAAAACGCTTCAGTTTCTGTTTTGTTTGTCCATTCAACTAAGTTTATTTTGGTTAACTGATATTCTGCTTCCGCGACACTATTGTCAATAGCCCCTAAAAATTACAAAACTTAACAATATTTAGGTATGTCCTTTACTGGCTGAAGTATTTTGCTCACAGAAAAGAGTGAAATATGTTTCAATACATCTAGATTTTCAGGAAGTCTCTGCTTTAGTTGCTTGAACAATGAGATAAGGAAATCTTGACAGCGTTTTTTTAAGTTGTTCTCTTCATTCTCTGTTAACAGTCCTTTTGTTTTTAAATCATCAATTTTTGATTCAATTTGATATCCAAGGTATGGCTTAGGAGCCAAATAGCTCTCTATAGTGCATGTGAGCAAATCAGCTTTTGACGTTGGCAACACCAGTCTTTTACCAACTGAGTAAAATAGCAAAGTGAGATCGACAAGTAATTTAACTTTATCAACATGTTTAGATTCGAACAGTTTATTAACTTTTTGCACTTCCATTAGAATAGGTTGTAAAAAGAGAAAGAATGCCCATTTTTTTTTTTTTTTCATCACTGTACATTCCATATAGTATCTCAGCTGTGTAGCACTTTTCACTTTGTCTTGCTATTTCAAAGTGTGTCTTTAACTCCAACCATTGGTTCACAATTCTTTCAACAGCTGGTTGTATTGATAACTATCTGGTTTGGCAATCTGACATAATTTTCAGTGGTGTGGAACCATTATTTTAGGCTGAATATACAATGCATTGTATTGCTGTTGTCTGACAAATGATTTGGAAAACCAGTTATGTGTTTCAGCAATAAGGTATTCCAAATTCCTTGGTAAACATTCAGATGAAGCATGTGATAATGCTAGCTGCAATGAATGACACATTTTATAAGTATTAACGATGGGATAGCTTCCTTCAACTTGGCATAAACACCATTGTTTTTGCCAACCATCACCGAGGCATTATCGGTACCAATTGCAACCAAATTTGTCAAGTCTAACTGTTTGCTAATTAGAAGTTTCTTCAGTTCTTGAACTATACTTTCTGCATCACACTTTTCCATTTGAACTAGTCCAAGATATGTAGAAACTACTTTGTCTGTATTGTTGCTGTAATATATAATACACACACACACTAAGCACTTTCAGTACCGAAATATCATTTGATTCGTCTAATAATAAACTATATTTATTTGTAGAAATATCACTGATCAAATCTTTTTCGAAGTGAGAAAATGAAGTATTTCTTATAATATGTGTACACTTTCTGCGATGCATTTTCACATCATCCATAACTTTACTGTCAGAAAAAGTGTTTTTAAACAAATCAATCAAATGGTCACAGTTTGAAATTGCACAAAGGCAACTTAAAAACATTGCGACCGATCTTCAACTTTTGATGATTCATTTATCATATATATATAGAAAACAGATGTCAGCGGTGTAATATCTTTGAATGGAACTTCAGTTTTATGCTTTTTAGTCTCTGCATGCTTTTTTAAGTCTTGTATTTTCGCTTTCATTTCACACTTGCAGTACTTACAACGAGCCTTGGTTATATCCCCAGGAACTGCCATCACCCAGTCTTTAATTTTGTCATCATGCAATCACTCTTTCCGAAATTTTTGCTCATACTTTACTTTGGCATGTTGAAAGGTTTTTTCAAAGTGAAAGCCACATATGAAGGTGAGCAATTATTTTTTAAAAATCACATGAAAAAGAAACACAAAGTCAGCATCACAGCTATAATTCACAACAAAGTGAGGATGCGGTTGAAACAAAGTTAGTATGATTTACGCGCGCTTTCGATTAATCAGCGCCGGGGCTGTCAGATATTTGAGTGTTGACCCTAGTGAGAGTTCAAAGTTTAAGTAATGGCAGTTGCCACAATGTACGTGCCAGACCAAAATAAAAATA